AAGTAAAACAGTTTCATATGCAGTCAAGGACAAATTGGAAAAAAGGGGGGAAGGGGAGGGGGGAGGTAGGTGTTGTGTTGCTGTGCTCCATTGCAGGTTGAAAAAACCGCTACCCCGAGTTTCATAACAGATTTGTATTTAAGAACATAAAGTAATGCTATTTTATAGAGCTTAGCGTTCGGGAGCGAAAGAAGAATTCCTGTCGTTTGTTCCTGTGGCCCATCTGTAATGTAATCAACATTGAGGTTCCTTTGCCTTATATCATATTCCTGATTTTTGTATTGGAAGCTTTGATACATATGAGTTTTATGAAAGGAAGAGCTGTTTTTACCTTACAGAGTTTCTGTTTTGGTAAAATGAAAATTTCATGAGGATTGACATATATTGCCTATGAAATAGAAACAAATGTGTATATTTATTATTGCGTTACGTCCTATTAACAGTCACAGTCATCTAAAGACGCGCGAGGTGTGGGAGGTGGAGAAAACCCGGAGCTCTCGGAGAAAAAAAAACCCGACATCTGGCCTGTACCTGGCCACTGTTCTGTGTTGGTCTCGAGCCCGCGAAACGAATGTAAGATCTGGTTATCAAATAGCATGTATACCTCTGCAGCATTCATGACACAGCATTTTATTAAACTAGTGTGAACGTCCTGACGTCATAATGCTGATTCATGAGTTTATAATATAAAAACAGTGGAGACTTTTTTTATCCAATAAAGGTTTCACGAGATATAGCTGTATATGTGCTGATAACATAATGTTTTTGTTTGAATGGGATCTTCGATTGGGGGTGGGGGGTGGGGGGGGGGGGTGGGGGTAGATAAACCAATTACACATACAGATACCTGTATGGTTTATCTATATATGTGCTGATAACATAATGATTTTGTTTGAATGGGATCTTCGATTGGACGGTTAGATAAACCAATTACACATACAGATACCTGTATGGATTTCTGGTATGTTGCACTTCCTCTTTTCGTTATTTGTACTTTGAAATTTGAATTACTATAACCATTCAGAGCCCTAACTCTTCACCTTCAAAAAGATGTTAGCAAAATTTTAAGGTTATTTCACTTCAACGGATATGAATCTAACACAATGTTACACTTTTCAAGACTAGAGTTTGGAGTTCATTCTCTATGGCGTCACTAATGTTAGATTACACTCAGCAATAACAATATTAAATACAAAGGCATATGAAGGCAACAAATATGCCCATTACTGATTTTGTAATTATCTTCAGGAGTTTTTCCTAAGTTGCTAATAAAATGTGAACACACTGTCTAACTAAGGGAATCCAGTACATTTCTTGGTTGATTATTGAATTTTAGGTGTAGGCCTGGCCCCACTTGTATAAAACATCTCAACTTGAAATTTCTTCAAGTCGAGATTTTCCTCAGCTGATATCTCCTCAAAAACGGCTTGTATAAAATTTTCTCAAGGAACAGGAGGAAGGCATCGGCTAGGATGTCCTGAAATTCCTTGAGGAATTTTCATACAATATATTTTCAAGGAGATATCAGCTGAGGAAAATCTCGACTTGAGAAATCTCAAGTTGAGATGTTTTATACAAGTGGGGCCTGGTAGCTAAGTCCATACGCAATCAAAGGGCGTTTGCCCGGTCAGCTAGGTAGGTTGTAATATCGATTTGTTACACAACTACACATACTAACATTGTCTATCAAAACACTCGTATGATTATATAACAAGTGTATTGGCTGATAAGATCCTACTTGAAAAAAAAAGTGTAAATAACAACCGAAGGCGGTTTGCTCTTATCAGAATTCACTGTCCTGGTTGTGTCCTTGGTTAGACACTTTACCGAATTGCTTTGGATAACATAGTATCAGTCTCCAGTAGGACGTTAAAACGGAGGTAGAAAGCAGGTGCCATATTAAGAACGAATTTCAAAAACCTCCCTGTTTATACCTTTGTTTGCGATGTTTGCAAAAATAAACAACTAAAATGTACACTAAATATAGATTGGAATTTATTTTTTGTTAACCATACTTTTATGGAACAAATCCTCGAAGAATACATTCTATGGGACATATTCGTTTAAATTTCAATCCCTATAGTTACATCTCATTGTCTTGTCATCAATATTCATTTTAAAGCAATCCTTGTTAGTATATGACACTGTTGACTCTTTACAGCCTATTGAAAATTCTCCTTCACAGTGACAAAATATCCCCCTTTTAAGTGTGATAGTAACTTAAAAACGTTTTTACGGAATATCATATCTTATCTGATTACAGGTTTTGATTCTGTGTCTTTCTTGATACCCATATATTTGGTAGTTCCTGTAACATTTTCCTGCGCAAGTTTAAAGAGTAATGTTCTCATGCTAGTATGGTGATTTTAACCTGGAAATGTTTTAGTGATAAAAGTGTAAACATAGCAGTATAAATGACACCTAGTACGTAGCCATTATAATGCCATTATTGTGAGCATGGCATCGGTTCATTGAGAATAGTTATTACACTTTGCACGTTAAAATGTCGATATCACGGTTATACACATAAGGAATGTGTTTGGTTGGAGAGTTATGTCAGTTATAATAATCATAACTGTCAAGGAATTTGTTTGTTTTATTATTATTATTATTTTGTTTCGTTTATATGAGTGGTTGTAATGATTTGTTTTTATTTATAAACTTTTTGGGGCGACAACAGGGGTAATGCATGTACGGGTATTATTTCTATTAATTTATATGTTCGCGTGTTAAATAAATACGCAGACTCCGGTTCTGATGGAACTTTAGCTGAAAAAGTAATGAAAAAAATACCCTTCGACAATTAATAGAAAAACGAACTTCAACACAAAGTTGATTCCAACTTTTAGAACGTCTTAATCAATAACCAATGCAGACGGAAGGGCCACATACTGATAATAGTTACTAAGCTGTAGGCAGGTAAAATAATGAGCAGATGCACGACATCGACAATGGAGGGAAAGGTATAAGTCCACTATTAATGAATAATGTTTTGGCAACACCTTTATAGGAACCATGACAATACAAACACCTTACCAGGGAATCCATCACATTTCATTGTCAAGACATTGGATGACGGAACCAGTTCTTTATATCTAGACCCAATTTTGAATACTTCCCTATGCTTTCAACTATTTTCTAAGTATAAAACACCAGAGAAGAAATTTAGAATGTGAACAGTATGGCAACATTATTTTGAGCAGTCATATGGTGCTATCATTGAAAAATATGCTATTTCTTCGTGTGGCATGAAGCTGGACGTGTTTGATGCTCGCTTGTTTGCCTGTTGATTCCGTTGTTGTATAATTTGTTCTCATTTGAGAACGTGACGTTTTGTACTTGGATAGGCCAGGGTTTACATGGCGGATGTCATTGATGAAGCATAGTGTGCTTGCTCTTCTGGAATTTCTGGTCTTTTACTCATTTACGTTTTCGTGAGTATCCGTGTAAGTCATACTTTTGTTCATATTTTGCCAAATTTGTAGAGAATTTGAGTCTAGATTATGATTTATTCACCTCAAAACTGCACAATCAGGTATCTTTAAGGTTTGAATAATATCGTGTATGACAAAATAAAAAAAAAACAATGCGTCGTCTTTTAGTCTTAATATATATTATCAGCCTTATAGTGCGGTTGCTACTTTTGAAAGAAAAATGTCATGAATTATTACAATTTAACAAAATCCTATGTAACCTGTGTTCCAAATGTACCTCTGGTTGCAGCTGAATATACCTATATTATTCTATCTACCACATAATGTTAACTTTGTACTGCTTATTGGTCTATTTCTATGTAAATGGATTCAAGGATACTGAAGGGGAGGTCAGGTTGAGGTGGAAATCCAAACGAGTGCAATTACCTCCGTTTATTCCTTACAGTAAACGTTTAAGTAAACATCCTGTTTTTCGACATGTATCAAAACAGAGTGTAGACATCTTCATTATGTACATCTAGAGGGGAGATGGTGTTTGTCACGAACGCAAAAACTTTGCCTTTTTTATACAGACCATGGGTTTGGAAAAACTAAATGGTCAATTAATTAGTGAACAGCACCTGTTGATAAAAATTTAGAATATGATACAGCAGAGCCAAATAGTGAATTAAGCTTATTTGTAGATAGTAAACCTGGTTCTAGCATCTTGGTCTCGTCAGTGACGCTATGGGCCCCGATTTTCAACTTAGGAAGTCACTGAAAAAAATCAAACGAGATCGAAAAGAAATGCCAAAAATATGTGGTTGAGAGTTGCGCTAGCCACACATTTCAACAACAACTGCTCTGTATGGAAGAACAGCTGTCAAGAAATCACAAATATATATATATAGGTTAAATACAGTTCGGTTTCTTGTTATATCATACTCCCCTGACCAAATCAAATGATTTCTTCGTATATT